TAAGAACAAGCTTCACAAATCCAATGAAAACTTACATTTCCCTCCATGAATAAATCCCAAAGATCTTACGACTTGGCGGCACCAAGAGGTGTCCTGTTGGAGTAGCTACACTGATGCAAGGCCCAATGTTAGATGGGTTGTAAAGAGGGTGTTATAATAAACCAACTTTGGATGAACTAATTCACATTCACCTCACTTACTAGCAAAAAATTCCCTCCTGCAATCACACTGGGCATGCCCACATGTTCCACTATGAAGTGTGGTTTTGCAGTATGCTACCAAAATAACATGGAATGTTTCTTTCCTGTACTTTCAAATATCTCAGAATTTGTTGCACTTGTATTACACAGGTATTTGCTATTTAAACTTTGACATGTAGCAGCTGCTTTTTATCATATGCTAAAGACACCTGCATACTGATCCACCCTTGACCATGATTGTTGGCAACAGGTACCGCTTTTCCCCCACAACTAATGCTAAAAACTAATTGACTGCTAACAATGAAAAACACTCTGGTGCAGTTAATGACATCTCTGAAAGCACAACAGAGACCAAAGGGACCTATATAGAGCATATATTTACCAAAATAACAAACTCATCTACATTTGAAACAGATTAGAATGGATTCAAGACAGACTCTCTGTTGACAGAACATGCACAAACTCCATTATTTGGGGCACACAAACAGTAGGATGCATTAAAAGACTGACTGACATCATTCACCCCCCACTCTCTCCCCTTGTGAGCCCATCTCTTCATCTCACCACTTAAAACAAGCAATTCTTCCTACAAACTGCTCTCCCTCTGCAAGCGAGCCTTCCTCCTACCAGCAGGATTGTTTTTGATGACTCTTTTCCTTTTTATTCTTAAGCAGCTAACAGCATTATCTTCTCCTGTGATCTCAACCCCAAAAATAAGTCCTTGTAAACAAACACCATCCAATTAAATGGATTTCAATTTTTGCAGCTCCATTACAGTACAATACTGAAAAAGAGACCCACGCAAAGTCAGGTAGGACTAAACCAACATAATGCAATTACCATGACCTACTCCAATAAAGATTTTGGAATCAGAGCAGAAGCAAATCCTGTGTTGCACCCATAAATCTGAAAACAGGCCTTAAGAAAAGGCACTTTTGACCAACACAGAGTGAAGTAATTTTAAGTGACATTGCTGAGATGAGGAGACACAAAGACCCATTAAGGAGCAATTCACAAGCAAAATAATGTTTGCAGATTAAATTTAGAAAATGACAAAGCGTTACAAGAAGAAAGAGGAACCCTACTTCAAAAGAGCTTCGGAGCTTTCAAACTTGTAAAGGTCAATAGCAAGTAGGTTTTATGAGAACAAAGAAATCCGCTGCTACCTATTCAAATCCATCAAAACACAACGAGAGGCCCAAACCATGTGTCTAGGATGATTCCAAGAGTCTGTAAGAATGATCACCTTTCTGTGGTGTTTTTGAACGCTGGTTCCTCGCTTCTGTCTTATTTTGTTCTTTGGAGTCACAGTTTTTAATTCTCCTTTAAGGCAGCTCCAACCTAAAAAAGAAAAAATAAAAGTTGAACTGAGCCACACAATGACACAAACAAGAGAAATGGGGAATGAAAATGGTTAATACCAAAGCAAGAGCAGGTCTTAAAAGGAAGAGCCTTCAAGAAATTAGGAAGGAAAGGGTTATTCCTCTAAATCAGGACCTCAGCTCGACAGAAGGGCGCTCTCAGGGGTACTAAGGAGTTGGAAGGACAATAACTACAGGCCCACTACCCTGTCAAGCCAGCTCCTCTGGGGAACTGAAGTAAAAGATAAGAACTAAAGAATGGGACAGGAAGTAACCCAGAAAGGAGAGCTACTGGGAAAAGAAAATCGCTCCCTTGCAGGAGCTCACGCTTCAGGAACCGTCAAGCGTGCGCGCACACACACACAGAAAACCAACCAAGCCCCGGCGCAGAGTCCAATGGCCCGGCGGCGGGAGGGCCCAGGGGAAGCGGGGGACGCGCTCCGGAGGAGCCCTGGTCTCCCCTGTGCCCTCACCGCCAGAGAACCCCGGTCCGCGGGCAGCCCCGGGAGCACGGCGGCAGGCGGCTGGCCCGGAGCCTGCCTGCCTGCCTTCCCCCCGCGGCCCGGGCGGGCAGAGCGGCGAGAAGCCGGGCACCCCCTCCACAGCGGGGGGCGGCGGGGAAGCCCCTCACAGCCCGCCGAGGGGGAGCGGGGAGGAGCAGGCCGGCGGCGAGCCCCGCCAGAGGGGCTGCCCGGGGCGGCGGTAGGGAGGCCCCACGGCGGGCCATGGGGTCGCGCCCCCTTCCTTCCTCCCCCCCCTCCCTTCCCCCGTGAAGGAGGCAGCGGGCAGACGGGGCTCGCCGCCCGCGGCCGTTACCTGTGTGTCGCCGGGGGGAGCGGGCGGCGCGGCCCCGTGCGCAGCCGCCCCCCGCGCTGGTGGTGCGGCGGCGGGCGGGCGGGGGCAGCGGCGGGGCCGGCCGCGGGCGGGGGCCGAGCTGTGTGGGGACACTGGGTGGAAGAAGGTCGGGTCTGTCCTGCGTGGTTGAAGGAGCACGGGGCCGCGCTGGGTGAAGCGCAGGAGGGGCCTGGAAGCGGCACAGAAAAGCCTCGGGTGACCCTCAAGGCAGGGAGAGGGGTGTTGGAGGCTGAGAGGCCTTCTGGAGGAGGGCAAGGGGGAGAGGGCCTGCAGGCCGCGGGGCGCTGTGCGCTGGGTTTGGGGCAGTGGTTACACGCATCCGTGCTCTTCCTCCGTTCCTTGTCCGGCTGGAATATCGCTTTTAGTGAGCTTTTCCCACCAGTACGCTATTGCTGGGGGGTCTGAAGCGCCAGCTTTCCGGTGAGGCCGGGTTGGGTCCCTCTTAGCCCTATGTCTATGGCTAAAGATGCTCACAGAAGAGCAGGTAAAGCACCTGGCATGCTTAGGTGTCAGTTAACAGGCAGTGGGCAGCTCGCAGCCTGTGGAAAGGAAATGACACTATTTTAGAGGCGTTTACAGTATTTCAACACTGAGCAAAAGCATATATTGAAAGGTGAGCCTACGAAGTCATTGCAGGTACAAGTAGCCCAAAGTATGTTTATTTCTTAAATTATTCAATCATTCCATTGTAAGGGGACCCAAAGCCTTCAAACTCCAACCCAAAAGTCATGGGCTGTGGTTTCATTTTGCTGTACCTGATCTAATTTTCTAATGAAAATAGGGTGGGTTTATTGGATATTTAATTTTCTCCCAGTTGCTACTCATGCAATTAACTTTTAATAGTATATTAAAAGGGAAAGAGTAATATAGGGACTTGACAATAGCTTTCTCAATCATGCCTCATTACTAATGTCTCTGAGTAATTGTGTGTCATCATAAGCCACTTGTGTTGGTAAAACGTGGTATCAACAGTGTTAGTCCATTCAAATCAATGCTTTCTAGGACCTTCTGCTAAATTAAGTACCCCATATAATAGAAATGTACGTATTTTATAACTTTGATTAGGATATCCTGGATGCATTTGCAACTACTTAAACTTTGCTTGGTCCTTAAACCTTAGAGGCTTCGACTGCCATCTGAGATTTCATCTGCAGTTCTTTATTTCCTTTTCCATTAAGTTTTTTCTCTCATTCTGTTTGCAGCTCTGCAGGACTTTAGTTTTGATTTTAAAGCTTAGCTGAAGTAGTCATGAAAATAATACTTATTTGGGGTTTGTTTTGTGTAGTTTTCCTTTCTGTGTTTTCCCTGATCAGTCTATTTATAGGGTTTTTAGGACTGTTTTTTATTGTTCGTGCAGGAGTCTGGCACTGTGAGGCGTTATGTTAATGGGTGTTCAGATGCTGTCATGAATAACTCAAATAACTAATACAAGTAAAGGTTGGAGTTTAACATTTCTTGTCTATGAATACCATTGCTTTTCTTTACTCTTCAGGTTTGAGCTTTTCTCTGCTTTCTGACTATGTTTGAATGAACTTAGTCATTGTCTGACATTTTCCCCCTCTGAAGGAAATTTCTTCAAAATAAGCCCCCTCACATTTCATTTCCTTTAGTGACTTCTACTCATGAGCTGTTGTCATGTGTGAGACATATCTTATAAATGTTTTCGTAAAGTGCTTGCAAATTAATGGCATCCTATCAATGTATTATGGTAGGATCAGAGAAAGCGTGACCAATGTCATGTGGCCAAGGTAAAATCCCATAGTGGATGTGCTAGAGGAGTTCTAAATCTCTTCTGCCTTAGCAGCCTTGCTGTGTCGTATGACTTTGTGCATGGGGAATCACTTCATTTACCACATAGGGTAATAATTCAAGTTGATCTTGAACACAGAAGTAAATGTGTCAAGATAATTTTACTTTATTAGGTATTCATTTAGGAAGAAATAAAACTCAAAGATAGGAACAATAGCCATGTAAAAAATTCAGTGATTTCTGATGAAATTTTACGGGGTTTCAGGTCGTAAATTTCCACCTCATATAGAATTCCAAATAGATTCTGCAAGCAAAGAAGGAATTTATTGTATGAAGTATCAGATTTATTCTTAACATCTAAAATGTGGAGTATGGGAGAGGGTGGGGGAAGGGTTCTTATTTCTGCTGGGTGAGAAGCATACGCCAACATTTTGTAGTTGTCAGGTCAATCAGTGCTCAATGTTTCTTTAGGACCACACCAGAGTGAATTGTAGATCACTCCCTGCAGGCAGCTTCTTATTCTCTAATTTTAGATTCTCTTCTAAAGGAAATACTTCTGATGGTGGAAGAAGTGAGGAATCTGTGTACCTTATCCTGGTCTACCCCTAATTCATTACACCTTTGGGAAGCCACTTTGTCAGTGCATGCTCCAGTTGCAGTTGAGAAATCCAGTTGTAAAAATAAAGGTGTAATTCTCAGTATTTGATAGTGCTTTAAAAACTTGTGAAGAGTATAAACCAAAAAAGCGCCTCATATACTGAATTTTAGAGTTTCATTGTTTACTAATATTCTGCTAAACCCCAATAATAGTTTGAATATTTGGTGTGCAGGTGTAATTGATACGTAGGTGGGAAGATCTTTAGAATATCTTACCAGCTGGAAGAGCTGTTTTCTTCCATTGAAAAGAAAGGGAAAATGTAACATTTAAATAAAACCCAACGACGGTCAGATGGTTTCAGGAGTCTACCTGGCTGATTATGCCAGACTGAAAGATGGGGATCCTAAAAGCATGTTGTTTTTAAACAGTGAATTTGTAGTTTCAAAATACGTTTAATAATGGTACTGTGAACTTCAAAAATGTGTGGTGCTCTTTTGTATCTTTCTTGTTATCAGTTCAGTAATAGCAAAATATTCCTTTCTAGGTAACTTAAAAGAGAAATGCCTGATAGTGCTTCTGTTTCTCATTGGATAAAAATAACCTCGAAGCTTATTTGCAATGATGATGAATAACCAGTGAAGACATACAGCATTTTCTGAAATATTGAATGTTCTCATCATGAAGATCTCTCTTCTGCAGCAGATGTATAAGGACGTGCTGGTTGGCATTCCACTGACAAAGGAAAGCCACCATTATACCTCTCTACTTAATCCGTGTGTTGAACAGTCAGCAGAAGGAGATGAATCATGTCATCGGATGCATCTGTCATCTACTAATGGTGGTATTGGGAGCCACCAGGACACTGAGATGCCAGGTGCAGTTGTCACTACGACAGATGATGTATCAAATAGCTTTGCAAACTTGAGCTCTTCATTTTGTCCACGAGAAGTGATGCTGCTTCAGTTAACCTTGATCAAGATGATGGCTGCTAAAGCAGAGTCCCGGGAAACAGAGTTCAGTATGAGACAGAAGTACTGTGAGATCGTTGTCCTTCTTCTGAAGGAGGCAAAAATTGACTCAAAATTGGTAAACTTTAATAAACTTCTGAAAGATTTCTGTGAAAGGAGGTAAAAACCAAAAAGGGACATGGCTTAGTTACTTTCTTCTATGTGTTTGCAGGTTTGTCTGCTCGGTAGTTGTGATCAGCTGTTATCTCACATGGCTTCAAGAAGTTTAGCTTCTCTTGTGTATTTCCAGCTGAAGGAAGAGGTGAGTGTGGCATAACTTTTCACAGCTTAAAAAATGACTTAGCAGATATGTGCCTTCAAGTTATTCCATTTGACTCTAGAGCCAAATTTGGCACAAAAGCAGTAGCTATGTGATTACTGTAAAATCTGAAAGTTATCCTAAAGAGGCTCCTTTTGTGAGCAGATCTACAGAGCAACATCAAAGCTGCTTCTTTCCTCCATTCATTGCCTGTGTGTCTGCTCTACCTTTGAGAGGCACACCTGCAGTCTGCTGGACTCTCTTAGTCCCTTAAAATGCCACACAGTTTTGTTGAAGTGTGTTTCACTCCGGTATCAGGAACAATGTGAAGGTCATAGTTTGCCCACAAAGTGAATCTTTAGGGGCTTTGATTTGTAAGTGGTGGATAGGAAAGAGCTGTAGTAAATATTCCAAGAGACTATTTCTCTCTTGGAATATTCTCTTTAAAGTTGCAATACAGGTATTTAAAAAAAAAAACAACCAGTAATCTAGACTATCAATGTCTTTTACAGTTACTTGATACCTGTTTGGTGATACAGTAGATAAAAATAGATAATAACCTATTGAACATTAATCAGAGATTTTCCTGTATTTTCATGTTTGACTATTCCAGTTACTTTAGGGTTTTTTTCCACTTGCTGTGTATTTGTTGAATATATATTGTAGCCTCTGTAGTAGCATCTCTCAATTTATTTCTCTCAGAAATAGGTGACATTTCTTGCAAAGTTATCTGGGAATTGTGAATTCAGATATGGTCTGTCTACAGGATTACCTAATTTTGGGGTCACATGACATTAAGAGGTTTGGTTTTCCCTTTTTGGAAAATACAGATTTTTCTATTGCATGTGTGGCTTCCTGCTGGTAAATAGAGGCCTTAACATGCACTGGACAGACATATTGCATCTACCTCTTTTGCCTATGCCTACATTTGAATTTTTTTAATGTACAACTTTAAATCCTTGTGTTATGATTTAATTTACTTTGCATAGCAACTGTAAAGCATGTGTGATTGGTTTTTGAACGCGTTTTCACAGAACACATTGAATGTCACCTGGCTGACCTTCAGTTTGAAGACTCTTTCAGGATTCTCTGTGAACACCCGGGTAGCACAATGTCTGTGGACCCTTACAGCTATTGTCAAGGACATACTGAAAGATAAAGCTTTGCCTAAAGCAGGTACTGTCGCGATTTGTGATGTTAGCCCTGCACGAGTGCCCACTAGGGGGAGGAATGTTACTTGTAATCTGGTCTAGAGCAGCTTGTCTAAAGAACGCCTACCTTCTTCATTACAAAGAGGGTGACAAAGTACTGTTAAAATGCAGTGGTTTAAGCATGCTGAAAACCTAATACTGGTCACAGTCACTTGTTTTCTGGTAATCTGATGATTTAGCTGACTGTGTTTCACTTCAACTCCACAATGTCATTCTTTTTGCTGTAGGTATTTTCAAGAAGTTGTTGGCTCCCCTTGATGCTGTGCTGGAAGGATTTTATAATTCCATTCTGTTCCATCGCTTTGACAGTCACCACTATGCTTCACCTTATTCTGAAGATACAAACACTTTGGTCAGTTTTATAGATCTACTTGAAGCACTTCTGGCTTCCAGAATTGAATTAGAACCACTCAGATGCCAGAGAATATTGTTCTTGAAAGTGTCTCATGTCCTGGATGTCATTAGCTCACCAGTTCACTATTTAATCAAGAAGAAGTTAATTTTGCTCCTTAAAAAATGTGTCCTTTACAAGCCTAGAGAAGATGCTAAATGTGGATCGCTCTTTTTCCAAACACCATCTTTACATGAGGATATGCTTGCACTGAGTAATGCTGTCCTGCAGCTTGTGGATTTGACTTGGCTTAATCAGATCCCACTCAGTGAAAAGGCCAGCTACTTTGGAGGCAGTGAAGCTGCTCCTGGAGGTAGTACTCCAGGTGGTCCTGACCAAACTGTTCTCAGAGCCTTAAGTCTGGTTGTGCTTAAAGCATTGGAATTCAAGTTTGAGAACTCTACTACAGAAACTGAAATCAAAGGTAATAGCTTTGTTTATTAAGCAGCAGTAGCTTTAAAGTTTTCAGATTTTATAGTCACAGGTCATTAAGACTGTAAATAGAATTCAGCTGAATTAGTGGTGGTGGGAGGGAGGAAAGAGAAGACCCACCCAGGAAACATCTTATCATTGTGTCCCACCTAGGTAGTTGTCTCCTTGCATTTTATCCTATCCTTATCCCTGGGATATGGTGAGCTTGAAACAGCTGTATTTGGGGTTGAAAGCTTTTCCTATTAAGAGTATGTGTTAATATTTGAAGTAGTTCAGCCAGCCTGGGAATGCCAGGCTTTTTCTCCAGTTGGAAGAGAGCCCATAGCACAGGCTTCTACTCTGGTGTGGGGAACTAAAAGGAACTGCAGGTAGCACTCTCCTGTTTTCAAATGAGGAGGTAGAACTTTTGAGTACTATTATATACTTCTCTTGGTTGAAAGCACTAGGCATTACACTCAGATGTACAATATAATTTTCAAAACCAGCAGAAGCAGGAAAAGTAAAAATAATGAAGCTATAAAGTAAGAGACAGGAAAACTATGAGACTTAGTAGAATATAGTGCTTGTGTTCTTAACCCTGACTGATAGGTCTAGTCCTTTGAATTAGTAGGCGTGAGGCATATTTCTCATACCTGCTTACTTGTGTACGTTTGTTCTACTGAATAGATGAATTAGATTAGTAGAAGAGCAGCTGTGGTGCTGGGGCTATGCCAGGAGGCAGGCAGTGGGATGGTGAGGGAATGCCGTGTAACTTGCATTCCTGATGGAAGAGGATGCATTGCTATGTCAGGCTGGTAGCTAGTTAGTATTCTTTTCCTGTGCTATAAAGAAGTGGTGAGGTGAGGCTTTTTTGTCTGAGAGACAAATCAGGAATCCCAAATCAGGATTGCCTGGAATCCCATCTTTCCGCTTGCCTTTTTACCCCAGAGAGGCAAGTGATGCGCATCATCTGCTGCTAAGCCGTGTGAACATGGATGTGCAAATTCTGAGATCAAAGGAGCTTGCTGTCCCAGGATTGCAGGCTTTATGGCAAAAATGGAAAGGCAGTTCTGAAGCAGTGTTTCTAGTAAAATACATGTGAGAATGGGTGTTCCTTATTGTCAGCCAGTTGATGATGTGGCAAGAAGTAGAAAATAATTTGTATTTCTTCTTAAACAAGAATGAAATTTCACAGCAGTTTAAATATATTGAGGCATTTTAATGCAAGTTCTGGATGTAAATGTTATTTTACTTTCTATATTTCTACATTTTATAGCAAGCATAAAATCCATTTTAATTTATCTGACTGTGCAAAAGAGCTATGGGCTTCTGTAAGACAGTTCCTGACACTTTTCCCAGATTTTGGAAGATGGTGTATTTGTGATGCAAGTTGAATTCTTAGAGTCTAAATATTTGTGGAGAATATTTTACTTATGATCCACCTTCTCAAAAATGTGTAGAAACTGAGTGTCTTAAGAATGAGTGAATAGAAGAATGTAGGTTAAATCTATTTTAGATGTCTGTGAAATATTTCCCTTTCTTTGCCAGATTCATGACATAGAAATGGGTTCTTTAATTAGATTCAAATACCCCAACTGTCAAGAGGAATTTCAAGTTGAAAGGAGTGGTGCTTCTATTTTAGTGACATTAAATTAAGTGGTTAAAACAAGCACCAAAATGCTTTAACAGTAACTTCCCTTCTGGGAAGCTGCTTGATCTTATCTTTTTTTATTAACGTGAATTAATATGGCTTAACTTGAATTTATTTCAATTTTGAGGGTAATTTCCAGATAGCTTTGATTTATAGGGAAGACTTCAGTCTGAATAGTAACTATTTGTAACAATAATTTGCTGTTCTTATTATTTTCTAAGAAGAAATGCAAGTCTTAGTCATATATGAAGGAAAACCACATAATGATGTGGTAAGGAAAATTGGTTCCCACATTGCAGGAAATTTCTCTCTTTTCTAAACATTGAATTTATGTTGTGTTACATGAAAAACTGGTACCTGGTACCATGCTACCTAGTACATTATTAGTAGTGTTGAAGAGGGAAGTTTCTTGACTTAAGGGGAATAGCCTGTTGTATGAATACAAAGTTATTTTTATGAGTAGCTACTGCATTAAGTGACATGAATTTTGAAGTGCTTTTCTCACCCAGGAGTGAAGTGTTTAGAGTGAGGGGGAAAATTAAGATTTGCAGGGAAAATACTCTTATGTTAATCATTCCAGCAAGGACTTCAGACCATCTCAAGAAGGTACCTTTATCTTAAGCCTGTATGTACTTGAAAGCATGCATCATCCATGAGGAATGCATTTTATAAAGAATTGACTATATTGCAGGCTTCATACATCATCTTACTGTAGAAATGACAATTTATTCCCATCAACTATAGATGACTGCAGTTAATTTCTGCAGTGAATCATACTGCAGGGGGTTTGCTCCAGTCCTAACAAAACATGCCAGTTGTGTTATTATTTCATATGGGAAGAATTACCCAAGATGACATCTCAGAAAAGTGTTCATATTGAATTATTACATCTGTGGCATTGACCTTGATTTCAGGTCAAGTTTGGTTTGTGATGTACCAATGAAGCTACTGGGGAGTTAAAGGAAAGTATTAAGTCCCTGTGGTATGGGCACAGTCGCATTTTTATGGGTCCTTGATACATGCAGGTTTTTGGAGGTGTAATGTTCTTTATTCTGCAAGTTTAGGTGTGGAAGGTTTCACTCTGTTGTACACAAAACTTTCTAGGTCACCTCTGATTATTCTTCCTTGAACTTCAAGGAAGTGAAGAATGCTGTTAGATGAATAAATTCTGTTGTTAAGTTTTACCTGTCTGGGGTGCGAGGATGGTACCTAATAAGTAAATTAATTTTAGGCACGCTACTTACAATTGTTAACATTGGCATCTAAACTTTGGCATGTTTAGAGTTTAATAGGGTAGCCATTCACCTTGAATTTAAGGTTGCATAACTGCATATGGTTTTCTGCAAAATATTTCTCAATTTCTTTGGTACCAAGACCTAACCTATGCAATTTGGTGCTGTGTTGAATCAGTTGAGCAAAGCATTGATAAAAGCATTCATGAACTGTTATGCACTGTTAAAAAATAAAAAGTGTGTGTTGTCTAGTAACAAAAAAAGTACAGCAAAATTCATGGTTACTTCTCTTTTTCAGGAGACTTCCAGAATTCCATGTCCCAGCTGTTGATGTTCTGGATGAATCATCTGAAGTCTTCCCCACAGTCTCGCCCAGTTGTACATCACTGTGAATGGCTGTCCTTGGTTTTCATAGAGCAAGATGATGATATGTGGGAAGCTGCTAAAGCTTTATTACTCATTTATTTAAAATTTGATAGGTTAGTCTACATTTTTCTTTGACAGAACTGTGAAGAATTGTAATTTAGTGAGGCTATTGTAATACACATAACATTTCCATTGATTACTTTTGTAAAATGAAAACTTTATAAAGGCCAACCAAGGCCAGGTTTGACCGGGCTTGGAGCAATCTGGTCCAGTGGAAAGGTGTCCCTGCCCAGGGCAGGTGGTTGGAACTGGATGAGCTTTAAGTTCCCTTCCAGCCCAGATAATTCTGGGATTCTGTGATAATTTAAACCCCCCCAAACTTCAGGACACTGTCATAATGTGTGGTGTAAGAGCAGTTAACTTTGCTGATAATTTGAGTGAGTGTTTTGGATTAAAATGAGGGAGTTGTGCAACAGTTTCCTATTAAATACTTTATCAGATCCTGCAATTCAGAATAATTGACTTCACAGTCTAAAGCAGTGATTAAACAGAGAGAAAAGGCAAGACTCTTCTTTCAACACCAGGAGTTTGACAATAATGGGATATTATAATTAAGGAGAACTCGGGGACTTCTGGCAAAGTACCCCCTAAAGACTGGACCCATGTTAATTCCAGCTAGATGATAAAAACTGTTATTGCTAACCACTAAGATGTGTTCTTCAGGAATTTGTCCCTGCTTCACTGTGGTTTAGATTACCATGCAAGATACTATCCTAACTTATAAAAGCTCTCTTAAGCTTCAGATAGAAGATACTGCAAGTAGTAAGAGGAGTGCTGCTTAAGAAAGTCTGTGTTCAGTGCTTTGCCTTCCTAAACTGATCTCCCGCCACATCTGCCTTCATTCTTTCTTTCTAATATAAAGACTTTGTTTTGATTTATACTTTTTGACAAAACTGAATTTAATCCGTTTCATGACTTCCTTTTCAGGTTACGGCATGACGCTGCTCATAACTTAAGCCAAAAAGAGGAGGAAATCTGGAACTTCCTTACGCATGCAAGTGGATATAATCCTCACTGTATCTTTCTATTTTTTCTTGAAAAAATTGCATTTGATTCCACAGTACTTCTAGATTTTCTGATTTCATCAGAAACTTGCTTTCTGGAGTACTTGGTAAGGTACTTAAAGCTTCTTGGGAAAGACTGGCATCAACTTGTAGATGTCTGTAACCATTTTGATACCAAACATGGTGCTTTTCAATCAGTTTCTTCTGTCAAGCCACCCCATCAAGAAAAACAAAGCTGTAAGACTGATGGGAGTTTGCAAAATGCTTGTTGTGAACCAGAACCACAGACTCTGGTATCTTTGGCTGTTTCTCACAGTTACTTTGCACTTACAACAGAGCAAGGTGATAATGAAGTTGTAAAGTCTAACCGGTCTAACTTCTTGATAGGCACTGATGGCACATCTCTTCTGGGTTCTCTTCAAAGCCTTGTTAATTATGACAGCTCAGAAGACTCTGAATTAGAATCAGATGGAAAAGACTGCTTGCTAAACACAAAGCAGGTGCCTTTAAGTAATGAGGGTGAAATGGGGATAAGGGAAGCTGGTTGCAGCTACATGGATGGTGAATGGAATACACTCCAGGCTGAAGTGTTGCCTGTGAAACAAAAGGGATCTAATGCCTCATCCAGTTTGACTTGTGTGGCATCTTTGGATAATGTCATTCCCCAAAGGATAATGCTTTACAAATCAATAAAATGTTTGGAAGAACTGCAGAAAGCTATTTCTAGGTTGCAGAGAAGGGATCTTTTCCCATATAATCCATCTGCGTTGTTGAAACTACTGAGCCACATTGAGCATATCAGTAAGAACATGAATCCACAATAATCCAAAGATGTTTCCTAGTGGCTTTTTTACCTAGTACACATGGAAATGTTTCCATGAGATGAATGACTTCTGAAGCTCATGCCTCTTGCATCTGGGAGTGTATTACCCTGAAACAGGATAAACATGTTATTGGTTGACACCTTAAAAATCTGCTGTTGCATTCAGTGCTATGATCCCTTACCTTAGGGTCCCAGGCTTATTCATGGTATGTATGTCAGCGTATGGTATGCAAGGACTAATTGTTAGGTATTCAAAAATTGATAATAAATGACTATGTGAAAGCTTATCAACAATAGATGATACTTAAAGTATTGTCAATTATACTTAATGTCATTCTATATGAAGTCATCGCCAGATTGGCCGTGATTCATGGACTACAATGAAATGTTAATGTGACACTTGACTGCTTAGAGGTTGAGCTAAATAAAATATTTCAGTGGGGGACAGTTTTGGTGTTTATACTGTGTGTTCTGCATCGGTGCTTTGCTCTGAGTGGAGCATCTCGGTTCAGGTGTGCTATTGCAGTCATAATAATCCATGCCACACTTACTGGCTGAAGTGCTTAACTGATGTCTAGGATGTACTTTTTTTAGCTTTTAGTGTTTGGCTAATTCAATGAGCAGTGTTATCACTTCACTGAAATATGAATTTAGTTTTTCTTAATATTTTCTGATATATTTGTTTAACTGAAAGGTAGATGTGAGACTATCTTGGATCATGTGTTGCCTGTTTATAGTACACTTTAATGGAATTTTATAGCTAAAATCAAGCTTAGGTAACACAGAAGTGAAATTCTAACAATTCCTTGATTCCATTATGTATTTTATGTAAGTGTAGAGTATATACACTTAATTTTTTTGAAATCAAAACCAGGTAACCAGAAATTGAGTGTCTGCAGTGCAATGATGTTGAATTCTTACCCTTACATGTTTTATTAGATCTAATTTGAATAACCTGAAAAGTGCCTAAGAATTTGCTTGGGGAGAGTTAGTTTGGAGCAGGATCCAAACCAGTGAGCACACTTAGCAGGAAGCCACCTAACGGTGCGCTTAACGTGCAGCTTGTAGTGGTCTTGCAAGGGTTAGGTGACAAGGGTTAGTCCCTGACAACAGGGACTACTGTAAAAATCTCAGACCTGATCAAAACTGTAAGAAGCAATTTTCCCTTTAGGATCATCTCTTGAAGGTAAGTGCTCTTATTCTGATTGAGAGCCAAGTAAGTTCTGTCTTCCTTTTAAAAGCTATTCAGTGTTAAAGTAGATAGTTAAGAACAGTCTCTGGAGCAGGTGACTAACTCCCAAATCTCAGTGGCCATCTTCTAGATTAGTTTTGAACTCTGAGCTAGTGAATCTATTGGGAGGGCAAAAAAAGGAGGTGAAGCTTGTGGGATACTTTAGCTGGAAATTAAAGTGCTCTCCAGAGACACTCAAATGGTATGACTTCTCAGATGGGAAGGTTTGGACCTTAGGCTTGCTCTTTCAGGATGATAGCTGTAGTCACTTGGCAGTTGTATAGGAAAGAGTGATCCCCTTGACTGACATGTAGATGTGAATATTCTGTGTGTGTTGTGCTTTGGTCTCCTGAGAGAACTTTTGTGCATAGGAGTGGGTGAGAATATCAATGAGTGTAAACTTTTCCATTCATGCTTATAGTTGCTTTAGTTAAAGACTAAACTCTTGAGTAGTCCAGGGCAGAAGAATGCCTGTTTTCTCTTTACTGTTCCAACTTGGTTACACTCTGCATGCTGAGTTGCTCATTTCTGTCACTAAAATGCCTCTGGGTGTGTTCAAAGATGCAACTCTAGACTACTTGGGAACTTTTCAGTTCAAACATGGGAAGTGACTTTGGCAAGGCAGTTGAGCAAGAGTTTCTCAAGATAACAATTTTAAACACAGGTAGGATTTCAGTGAAATCCTTTCCCACTATCCTTACTTCTTTTCTAATCTAGGCTGTGCTGAGCAGTTTATTTTAACTGAGTAACTTCATTGTTTTCACTGAACATAATCATGTTCAACATTTCTTGGTCTATACTTTGCCAGCTGGAAGTATCTAAATTACAACAGTATTTCTCAGACACGAAGATAAGCAGGGTGGGAAAGGTAGGATGGGGAAGTAATTTCCGTTTGTTAAGTGCTGGTCTTGTTTGGCAGTGATTATTGCAACTATAAAACCTTTCTTGAAGTGAAAGTTTAGACATCTCAGAACAGTGTGTAGAATTTAGCAGGAAGTGTAGGAGCCATAACTTGATTTCTGAGCACAGCAAATCCAAAGACAGCCCAACTGTATTTAATTCTTACAGGCATGAAGTTGATTGTGTGCCTGGTTGATTATTAGAAGTGATCATTCCCACATGTTTTACTTCTCAGCCATTGTTTTAATTCTCAGAAAGTTTTAGTGGTAAAAATGGGTAAATGTGGTTTGTATCTGGCAACTGGATACATTAATGTGTTGATATTTTACCATTTATGAACTGTAGGACCTGAGGTGGACTAAAACTGATGTGAGTCAACTTTATTACACTCAAAATGAGTGTGAGCAGTGAAGGTAGCTCATAGGTCTATGGCTATATTCAAAAAGTCTAGCACAAAAAAAAAACAAAAACACCTTGCAAAAGAATTTGTGTTTTAAACCATTGATGAGTCCATAGGATGGTTTTTGTTGGGGATTTTTGATTTGTTTTACTATCTAAAAGTACAGGCAGAGCTGTAACTTCAGTTGCTAGAGCAGTTTAATTCAGCTGCAGAACCTATTATCAATGTTAAATTAGAGCTTAAGAAGTAGGTCACTTACTACTAGGAGTTTGATGTGTCTTACCTTTTAATATTGATATCTAACTTTTCTTGTGTTGTTTGAAAGCAAGACACAGAACAAAGCAGGTGACCTATCTGGAGACAGTTTTCTATCTGAGGACTTATCCTGAAACATCCACAGTCTCCCTTTATGTCTGTGCAGTTGTTTTGAGGAGTTTACCTTCAACCTTAATACAGTAAGTGGTTTTTAAGGAGGTAAGCAGCTAGCACTAGAAATTACATACAGGATATGCTTATTAAAAAGAGTATTTTTGAACTTAAATATTTGTAGAGCTTGATTGCAATTACAGTCGAATCCAGGTGCTTTCATTCGTGTGGTTTTTCAGACTGGGTTTCCTTTAATATTTTGACTGCTTTCCATTTTAGTTTTCAGACTTGTAATACATGTTTTGATCCTGTAATACAAGAATAAAAACCAACGTGGAGAATTTCTATACTTACGATGCTCTCGTAAAGTTAATGCTCCTATCTTGCACTTGTGTTCTCTGTGGATGGGTAAAGGCTGATGCTCTGAGAGTCTTCCAGTGGTGTAATCAAGCAACATTTGCATTTGTCTTATGTGAAAGTTTTCCAAATTGTTGAGATTTATTTTCATGCAGTTGTTAAACCAGTGCTTCCAGCCCCAAGGATCAATAAGGCATCTCTTTTTTTTTTAATCCTGTATTATTTGGACTGTTGGAAAGGAATTAAAAAGCTTTGACTGAATTGGTTGAACTAATTGTTAAATCTCTAGTGTTGCTGCCAGATGAGTTTGTGTATCAGTCTCATGACTATCTGAAGATACTCATAGCACACAGGAGCGTTATTTGAGTGAATTAGCAGTGCTCTATTTGGAGTGGAAAGGGTGAACTATACAAGTCAATCCTTAGATACAGTTGTTCTTGCTAAGATTTTGAGTAGCGTGCTAGTTTTAACACATTGCTTGCTATAAATGGTAGCAACTGAAGTTAGTCTTGATAAATTCGCCTTTTCAAATGTATTAGAACATACTTAGTGAATGTACCTTGTATAGATTTGCAGTTCTATGTTAATTGCTCTAGTGTTTCTGCTTACTATGAAGGTGAGTTTGACAAATACATTCAAGTTGATGCTAAGTCAAGAGGAAAGAAAAGCATTTTCTCACCTAGGATAATTTAAAACCAAATCAAACTGGGATTTTTGCATAAAGAATGCTGACCATACTGTGAATAGATGATTTCTTCCCTGCATCACATACATCTCTGTGCCTCTGGATATGTAAGCATTCTTAATTGCTGCCCTGGAGGCTTATTGATACACTGGATGTTCAGTGTTTAAATAGAACGCACCTAGGAGTTTGTAACTGCTTGAAAGAGAGCACAATTGTGATATTTATATCCCTCAGTAGTTATTTGTGTGAGACAAATTGGTTAGAAGGCAGTCCCCAGGTAATACCAATGCCTTTTCCTGGAGCCTTTTTCCTAAGGCATATTTGAAGCCTGTTAATAATCCTGTTCTCTGCATTTTAGTGAAGTGATGGCAGCTTGGGTCAGCAGTGGTGTGTGTTCCTTCACTTCTCTCCACTGCCTTTATCCTTCCAGTATTACTACTGACATCCCCTTTTTATGCAGTTGTCATCTGCCTTCTTGTTATTAAGGCCCAGATTCTCAAAGAACTGAGTTTTCTAATTCTTAGTAAATTCATGAGAACCAAGTTCTGAAACAATAATTGAAAAAGACTTCAGCATTTTGAAGATTTCAGCCTATGTGTTCTCATTGTGTGTTCCTGATTTAGCCCTGCAGTGACATTCATGCACGGTAAGTATTTGTTACCTTCATGCTTGCTCTGTTCATACTCAGGTGTTTAGTCTTCAGTTATGACAGATGGCATTATTAATTAGAATGAACCTCTCCCATACAGGGGGAGATTAACTAAGATTATGAATCAGGTCATACTTCCTAGTTAGAAAGCTATTGAGAAGAAAGCTTTTTGAGAGATTGTAAATGGACTTCTTCATCCCTTTTATGTAGGGGAAAATTGCTGCATTACGAGAAGACACAAAATCATGTGAAGAAGAGGACCTTAGGCCTGCAGATTGCAAGATTGAGTTATGTATTGATGTCCTTGAACATATGACTTGGGAATGATTAATTTTCAGTTATTTTTTTGATTCTTGAGGAGCAGGAAGTGTAGGAATATCAAGCTCTTTTACGTTAATCTTGAAGGAATGCCAGGTGGCAAGCAATGGGTTTCACTGGTGGTGAAAAGAAAATATAGAGTCCAAATTATATGATGATTATTAAATCATATCAAATAGAGCAAATTCCTATTTTGTATATACATGTGGCTGAGATTTGATTGTCTGTCATTGAGATAGAACCATTTAGCAAAACTGACCAGGCACTCATAGACAATATTCAGAACATTTATCTGTCAGCTCCCTGGATGAATTTAATTTCGTTTTATTTCACAGCAGAAAACAAACCAAACCCTTAGGTTTTGGAGGTTTCTGTTTTGTTTGTGAGGGGGAATATGAGTTGAGTTCTGTTTGGTTTTTTTTTCCCCTCCAAGTGCCATCCTACGCAGCAGCTCTGATTCTGGACGTGTTAAGGTTTAATACAGCCTTGAAGATTTGCCAAGAGGGTTTTCTCTACTGAGAAAGTTAACTAATACTATAATCTTTCTTAATGTAACTGCTTAAAACTCAAGTGAAAGCTCTTGTCCAATGTGTAGATTCACTGTCATTTAATGTACATATTTGTCTGGAAAATGGAAGGAAGTAAATGCATGAAGTTTTCTTGGTTTGTTCTAATAGTTTTTTCCCCACTGAAAACTTGTATGTAATTTCCAGTGCTGTGTGAAATAATTCTTTGTGTCAAATACATGCCTCCATTATCTAGTTGTATTTAACTGCTGATTGAGTAGGTGCTATACTGCGTGCAAGGAGTAGTAACACTTAGATTTTTATTTAATTTTGTTTCGTATTGAGATGTACAGACTGAGGTACTTCTGGTTTTCTTCTTTGCAGCATTCAAATGTAAGTTCCCTGAAGGATAAAGTCCTATGAAATTGCAGCAATAATTGAAAGGTCAGTGGGCAGCTTTGATCAAGAGGGTATGGTTAGCTTAGTATTTACCATGCAATATCTTTAATCTTGTAATAGATTTCTACATCGGTGGTGAGGCTACCTAACGAATGCTCCTCAAATAGTATGTAAATAGATTTTTTTTTCCCATCTTTTCTGTAGGAGCCCCACATTTGCTCCAGTTAAATAAATGTGCTTTTTGTAATTTAGTGTGACAGTGAAGAAATCGTGGATTGAGGCATAAGACAGGTGTTTCTGCCAATTACCTGCTACATTACTGGCCCTGTTAGCCAAGTGATATATGAATCAGCTTGCTCTAGGCTTTCCTAATTGGCAAAGTGTACCTAAATGTTCTGCTGAGTTTGTACTGGCGGTTCAGATGTGGGAAAGCATGGAGATCATTTAAAGCAACAGCAAAGCCATAATACTACGTTTCTGAAATAATCCTTCATGTTTAATATTGCTTTGGTGCATCAGTTTATTGAGTACCGCTCCCAGTTTTATGGAAGGACTGAAGATTTGCCATAGCTGCAAAATAGAATGCCTCAAAAAGAAAAAAAAAAAGGAGAAAAAATTGGTATATGAACAAATCCAAACCTTTCCCTGAAGGGAGGTAAACAAACAGGATCCAAATATTGCCTGGGTCACTTCTTTTATTGCAGTCTTTCGGGTTGTGATGAGAGGTTCAGCATACTCAAAAAGAGATCTGCACTGGCCTTATTTTCCAGCCCTCTCTACTGTTATTTATAGAGATACCATCTATGTTTGGGAAGTCTGTGAGCCCCAAACTACTGAAGGTTGGGGGTATCAGTTGCTATTTTGTCTGTATTATGTTCTTGCACTCTTCTGTAGCCAACTACTATGAGCTTCCTTCAGACACAGTATGCTGGGTGAGGTGAGCCTTTGGTTCAACTTTGACATGTCTGTTCCTATTTCTTGGTTTGCTGTTTGCTGACTGCAAGCAGGAAGAATGGGCTAATAAGAGGCTCTCTGCTCTTGGCTTGTCCGTGAGTTCTCTGCTTTCTTTTGAGCAATGTCAAGGTGTGCTGCCCACCAGAATACTAAGTAATGCCCGCACTTCTGAAGGCTGTTACTATTTGAAGCTGGGGAGAGCTCCGAGGAATGGCTTACATTCCATGTGGAATCACAATAACTAAAAAAGCAGGTAGGGTTAAGGAAAATAGACGTTTGTGTGGTGTTTCTAACCAAACATGCACTTAGTGTATGTTTCCCTCTGCTTTAGGACTTTTTTTGAAATTCCACTTTCTGTCTTCTGAGGAACTGAAATGCTTTCTGTAAAACATTTAAATGATTGGGGCTGGAAGTGTTCCTGAGGCTGGCTGATAGAAGCGGAAACCTTTCTCTACCTTTATTTGAAACCCCATACTTCATATAATAATGCATCTAAAAATGTCAGTGTCAAGTGATGCATTTGGCCTTTCCTGTTGTGCACCATCAGCAGGCGCAGCATCCTCCTGTGTGTGGGGAGCAATAGGAGTTGAGATGAATTCTCATCATACAACCAAGTACCATGTGACCTCAAACGTTTCTTCATCTGCTGTGTTGAAACAAGCAGAGGGAAGGCGCTTGGCGTTGCTACTCCCGAGTTTCAGCAGGTAGATCCATATGACATCAGGATTGCCTTCAGTCAGAAATCTTGAAGTGCAGCTTTGCTGGGTGGGTCTCTGAAGAATTTGAAAGAGTTTTGTAGATAGGGCGTGTTTACCTTTGTCAAAGTAGTGAGTGTAATGCCTCTTCCCTGCTAATGTGCTTATGTTCTCTTGGACTGCAACATCATAAAGGTAAGAATGCCTTTTTCTTTCCTTTTTTTTCTGTTCTGGGGTGGTGGTTTTTTTCCCCCCTCCTCCCTACATCTCATTTCTGTTTGGCATCGTTAGCATGTGCTGGTCTAACCCTGCCTGTTCTGTAAGGGAAGATTAGAAGCAGCTATTGTGATAGTCTTCAGATGAAGAGTGGAATGGGTGCTAATGAGATTTTATGTGTTGCCACTAAGTATTCCCACCTGTGAGAACTGCTTTATATTTTAGAGGAAAGTAGTACAGGTTACAGTAGCAGTTTTGCTCTTCTTTTTGTATCATTATTCTATTAAGTGCTTGTAAAAGCGCTGCTTTCTGAAATGGAAGGGAGGAAAATTTATTAACAGGAGAAATAATGTTAGTTAATGATGTAAATGTGATTGAAAAAAGCCTCCCGCTTTTGCGTTTGAATACCTTGAAAAAGCTAATTCTAATTTTGTTCTGCTAAATGCTAAGAAAAAATGTTCTATAAGAAATTAGGTCTGGCAGGTTTTTTATAAGACTTACCTGTTGAAGATCAGAAGAAGCTAGTGCTATAAATAACACATTTAAACAAGCTGCCAGACAGAGTTCTTTCATAGTAATGTTGTAACATTCAGCTGGAGGAACCCTGTTCCTGTTTTCCCCTCTTTTTTTTCTTGTACTGTATAGCTATTTTTAGCTAGCTTCCTAGTTTGGTCATGTCTTCAGCTGGGCTGCCACTGTTGGAGAAGAGGCTATGCTGGTTCTTTAGCTGAAGATCTCTCTCTTGCATTTGTTAGAACATGAAAAGGCTGTCAAACAGTAGCTGAAATAATGAAATACCAGTTCTGTTCTGGCTCCTCCTGTGGTTGGCTTTGTGGGTGGAGGATGTCTGGGCAGGTTAAACTGCAAAAGAGGGGATAACCAACAGGAGGAGAACTAAGAACAGTGGAGCACAACAGACTTGGTTGGATGCCTGGTTCAGGGTGGTGGAGAGATCATTAACATACAAGCTTGAGCCACTGTATACACATGAGCTGAAGACTGTTTTGAGAAGCTGCAGATAGGACAGTTTTCCAGAGTACAGATGCACCAGCCCCATCCCTTTCACCGCCTCCCAGGGGCCAATTTAAAACCTTGAGTCATGTGCAGGTGGAGAAGTGAACAACCTTTGCCTCTGCATCTTCAGGTCTTCCGTCTAGTTCCTTGCTATTCTGCTGTCTTCCTGTTGTTTGTGGTAGTTGTACTTCTCATAGTGTGCTTATCCTGGTCACTGTGTACCCAAATGCTGCTCTGTTCTTCTCTGCCCCTAACACTTGTCTTAAAGAAGTGACCAAGACTCGCAACTCTGGTGAAAACTCTATTAAATAGCTTAGCATTTTAAGTTAGACTTTAGGTTTTTATTTAAAAATTTAGGTAAGCTACAAAAATGATCATTTTTGCATCTTTTCCCAGTAGTAATAATTTGAAGAAAAAATTCATACTTAAATTCTGACAAGTATTACTAATAAGTTCGTGAAGCAACTAGTGGTGTCCTTCTAGGTCTGTTCAAATTATTTATGAATTTATGCTTCTCTTAAGAACCTGTATTTTGGATAGGGCTTTTTTTTCTCTTTTCCCCAAAGAACTATTTTTTTTACCTCAAAATTAGTGCAGATATTTGAGTTATTTCACAGCTTCTTAATCAACTCTCTCAATGTCACAGATTTTTAAGGCTTAAAAGCACTCTAACTGTACCATGTGAGAACTGTATTTCACTTTCTTCAGCTGCCTGCGATCAGCTAAAACCATTTTAGCTGCTCAAAAATGATTTACCTTTAAGTAGAGAGAACATGGTAACTTCAACCCAGAAAATGAATGATTTCAAACAGGTCTTGCTCTCTGTTTCCCCCCCCCCCCAGAGAACAGGGTAAAATATAAAACTCACTTGCCACCTTAATTGAGATTTATTCAAAGTGCTATTTCAGCCTGCTACAATATAGGACCCAAGTTACAAGGTAATGTGATAGAATAGTAAAAGAAATAAAATACTCTAATTGCCCTATAACCAGGCACTTAAACTGTTTACAGTTGAGATTTGCACAAGCTGGGGAGTAAATCTGAAGTTAAAGGTCTCAAAGCAATCTTAATTCAGCTGGTTTGTGTATGGAGTATTTCAGTGTTTCATCATAAGAACCTCTAAGTTCAACAGCTCTTTTATTCCATGCTGCCACTGGTTGTGTGTGTAGGCTTGATAAGATGCCATTCACGCTGTGGCTTAGGTTCTGCAGAATTCAACTGAACTGTGTTCTTACTTCTGGACAGACCAGATGCAAGAAGATAGTAGCATCAATCCAATATCCTTCACTCAGTTCTTTCCTCCACAAACCATGGTTCAAACCCATTATGCCAGTTAGGTGCAAAACACTGCTTGATCAAATACAAAAAGCAGTGTGTAGAAGCAGGAGCAAGTGATGTTTTCAACTGGCAGATACTTACAAATAACAACCGATGCCTGAATAAATGGGTTTGTGTGGAAGAAAACAGTGCAGGGCAGGGTTGGTCTTACTGCCTTAGGGACTAATAATTCTTAAGCATAAAAAACTCGGTGGAGAAGTTAATCTGGTATCACATTCTGCGAGTTCCCAAACTTTTAAGTATTTCCACTAGACGGGTAAAGCAGCAGCCGCACATTGGAGCGGTTGTATGGCACAGTATCAACTGTCAACACATGCACAGATACTAAACCATTCACAAGTTGGGGTTTGTACATAGCAGGGGGAAGGAGGTGTTAGATTTTACTAAAACTCACTTTTCTGTAGTATTGGGATTTTCTTAAAGGTATGATTTAGGTAGTGCTGCTGCTCTCCTCAGTAGGAAGAAGGTTCTATACCTTTAGCAATAAAATGAAGGTCCCATATTTTTCACCCATCTCATGATGGTGATTGCAGTTGGATTCTTTAAACAATGTGCTATCTATTTTTAGCAGATCACGAATCTCCTTTTGAAATGTGTGTGTTAGCTGTTGCAGATATTGCTAAGTCTTAAGCAAAACCAAACCCTGTGATACAGTGGATCTGATCCTTATTTACTCTTTTAAACCACTTTGGTTTAATGTTGATGATTAACAGCCTGGAATAGCTTTCCTGTCTCTTCTGATATCTGTGAGATTTGATTTTTCCTAACAGTTGCTGCACCACCTTTACCAATTCTACCAAGTGATGAAAGAAATAGGAGTATTGTGTTATTCTTGCTCTTTCCTGATTCCATTCTTTCCCTGCTACACTGGAGTCACACTGAGTAGATGGTCTAGTAAAATGCTTGGAGAAATGAAGGTTTCTTTCACTTTCGTATTTGTGTTAGTGGTCCACTGAGTTTTCTGATAAGGATAGGAAATCCTCCTTGACACATCCTTCGCACCTGGATATCACCTTCTCTTAGTTCTGGTTTTGGAAATGCAGTTTTTGCAAAGGAGAGCTTTTGTGTGGAAGACACAATCAAAGGCCTTGGCTCTGTTTCTTTGTATTCATTCCCCAGACTGCAGCAGCCAGAAATTCCACTTCAAAGCAGCTCCTGAATTTGTTTGTCAAAATGTAACCACACATAGCTTTTGTCAAACCAAAACTTGCCCTTTTTTGCTTAACAGCATTAAAAATTTGAAATTTTGGGTTTTAATGGAATAGATCAAGGATCCAAGGAACAGAGGTTTGAAAGAAACTTCACATTGGTACTTCCCAACTGTGTAGGCTTTCCTTTAATTATAAAGGATGCAGTTCCTGAAGTAATCATTCCTGATTTTCCTGTTTTAAAGTAGCCCATTTAAAACTAGATTAGGCAACAGAGGAGATCCTTAGCGAGGAAGAGATTTCTTTACTTAAAGTATTGAATTTCCAAAATGCAGGGGAACTGTCCAGGTTTCTAAAATACCTGTATTTGATTGTCAGACTGACTTTCAGGCCCTTCAGCACAAGGGCAATGATTCCAGTTTTGTCAGTGAAAATAACATTCGTGGTGCTGGTGAAAGGATAGGAATTTGGGAAGAAGCAGGAGGGTTTCACCCTAGGTTGGGCAAAATGTGGGTCACTCAGCGGTGGTCATTTCCCATTCCTGTTTGCTTGGTGCTGTAAAGAAGGAAGTTCTGAGCTCACCACTCCTAGCAATAGGAGGTTCAGGCTGGGTAGACTTTCAGTGTTCTTGTTAGAGTTGGTTCCAAACCAGGACAAGCTGGGCCTTTGCATCTGCTGTCCGCTATTTGGAAGTTGTGGGTGGGAACAGAGAATAACAGCTTTGGAGTTTATGCAAGCTAGAAGGATCAGCTGCCTTTGAAATCCAGTATCTGTAGCCTGATCCCGGCACTGGAACTGGTTACCCCCACTTGTGGTTACACTGGAACACATGCTTGTGTGTGGTAACCAGCTCCTGACAAAAGTTGTCATAGTTTTACATGGATCTGCTAAGGAAATGAGCCTGGGTTCTAGGGACTGCAGCTGCAGCACATCTCAGAGGTGCCTGTTGCAAAACACTCCACTCACCCAAGTGATAAGAAACTGGTTCTCCCATTTCCCACCCAGATTTTGGGCAGTACATGAGGAAATGCCCATCTACCTCACCATCCCTGCTCATAGCCCCTGGGTGGCAGACACGACAAGACAGACCTTTCCTCAAGAGGATGCGTGGTGGCTGCCTTCCCTTTCCTGCTCACACTATGGAGGCTTCTGTTGAGTGTCAGCTTCCTTCCCATACACAAAAACATACAATGTACATGTGGGATATTTCTCAGCAAGCTGAGAGGGCCACAGCTTGTTTGTAGTATAGGAGAAGAGAGCTTTGCTTGTGTAAAATGTATGTGACAAAACAGTACTTAAAGGGTTCCTATATGTTTCAGGATATCCATGATTTAAGGAGGGATTAAACTACTTAATCACACAGCCACAGCTTCAGCCATTTAAGAGCAGAAAGAAACTGCAAAATACTCAGGTCATTGCTGCCCAGATGTGTTTGAAGTGAATTCCACACCTTGCAGGTGCTCTAGGAACCTCATGGTGAGAACTGAAGCTGAAGGGAGACAGGAGAACATCCCAACTACTTGAACAGCTGCTATTATGAAGATGGAAATCTCTAAGATTGCTTGGGGAATGGCCTGATTTGCTGTAGTGAAAACGTAAGTTGGATGTAGGGTGAAGATCCAGTTTAAGAGTAATGAAACATAAGAATAGGCTGCAGACAGATGTCAACTGATTTCTAAGAATTACTTGGACAATGTTCATCTGTGATGGTCTGATCCTTTGTGTTCCAGGCAAGACCTGGTACAAATACAAGCAATCACAGGAACAAGGCTTTTGGAGAACCCACCTTTCTATGAGTCTCTGTGGTGGTTGTGAGGAAGGATTTCTACTGAAATCTGTGGGCTCAGGATCAGACCCCAAATCCCATAATTCCTTTAAATTTTAGGGTTAAGCATGTGCTTACGATCTTGGTTTGGTAGAGATGTATTAACCAGTTTAAGACCTGAAAGGTCTTAAGGTAACTTGACGTCCATGTCTGGAAGGAACACATGAATTAGCGAGATCCCAAGAATCTGATATGAAAATATGCACTACTCTTTGCTTTTAGGGTTAGGTGTTCTGGGTGCATATTCAGTTATAAATCCCTACGACATGTCTCACTCTAATTCAACTGTTAGTGTTCTTTCCACTGTGTTATAATAGACTGGCCTATTTTTATTACAGCTACAGTTTGTGATAGTTTGCAATGCACAGTTGAGTTTAAAAATACAGATATATTAGGAAGCAGGACTGTGTAATGAGTCTCTCCCCTGGTCTTCTAGGGCAGTTTGCAAGCCTTTCTGTCTGACCTAAAACGTCGTATTTCAAAGCCCTGCTTCATTATCATGGCGCCTGGTAGCTGTAGTTAAGGGTCTGTTAGGAGCCCCATTATAAATCCCTACTTCCAGGAGTTTATAATTCAGCAGTAAAAAATTGCTGTAGGCTGAAACTTGGCATATAAAGTCTTAGTGCAGGAGCAATTGTGATTTCTCCCTCCTTTACTTTTGCATTTTCTTATACACACAATTCATTCAGCAGATTTTTACTGTCCCCTTTTGGCATTTTAAAAGATTAAATGGTTGGGTTATTAATAGTTCAATACTGACTACTGTGCTGGGGCAGTACATTGATTCACAGTGTCTGTTAACCCAGCTCTGATGGATACAAGTCACTGTTTCACAGACATGCTCCAAAGCTTCAGCTTAGTGGTAGCGTCCTGGTGTAGATGACAGTGATTGCTCATTGAGCTGCTGATTAAAGTGGGCTTCAGAGCCAGCCCTGTCCTAGCCTAGAAGGCTGTGTAAGTGCACCAAGTGCCCTAATCCAGCATGGGCAGGAGCTGCATGTGGCTGCAGGCAAAGCTAAAGCCGTGTGGCTCCTGCTCGCATACCGTGAAAGGGCCTCAGCAGGATTTGATCTTATCACTTGATCATGTACAAATATATCACTGTAAGATCTTCTGTTGGGGTGTCTGATGCTACAAGGAGACTTTGTTGAAATTCTCCCATCTCCTTTAGTTTCTTTATTGGAAACTATGTTCAGTGATACCAGTTACTTCCTCATGTTTCATGTGGTTTACAGGAAACTTTAGTATGGAAAAGCTGTTTAATTTTGTTATTCCTAGAAATTATAGAAAAAAATACATGTTTCAGTATTATGGAAAACATCATAGTAACTCCTATTTTTACTGGATTTTATACTTTTATAGGGTATATAACATGTTTGTAGTGTAAAGTCCTCACAACTGAAGGAGGGATAACAGAAATGTATGATGTAGATTGCAAAGGTTAAAAATAAGACTTTATAAGAATGAAATGGTTTAAGTGACTTTCTTTCCTTCAAGGACTAATTTTAGACGTTTTGTTCTGATCTAGGATTTGGTCACGGTCAAATCACAGCATTTCCTGCAAACCCTCCAAAACCTTGCTGTGTACTGTAGTATTTACACTTGGCCCTGTGCGCAGGTGTTCACAAAATCAGATCAAGGTATATATTCACATTAGTATATTAAATAGCAGTAATTCAACAGCAAAATGTCTTCATTATTACAGAACTGAGTCATCTGCTGGACTTTCTTATTTCTTTTTCACTCTTCTACCCACTTAATTTACAAAGGGAGCCTAGGGAAGATCAGTTCTCTGTAGTATCTTTTATGCACTGGAATAGTAGATTATAAATTATCATTGCAAAAGATTTTGTCCAGGTACTAAGCAGTCAGCGTGAAGGACTCAAATGTGACAGCAGATTATCTTCCCCCTGGCGGATTTCAAAAGCCTTTTGTCTTTTTAGTCAAGGACACCTGAGCGTCTAAATTTATAGTGCCTACATGCTCTCTGTGGAGTGCTTCAGTTGGACCTGCAATACCAGCACAACCTGTGCAGGCCAGGGCAGCCTGTTCTTGTGGGACCCAAGCCTCATCTGCTGCTTGTACCTTATCTTTAGGTAATATCCTTCCAGCTGGGATCCACTGTTCTTCCCAAGGTTCAATATGTTTTGTTTCATACATTTTCTTTCCAATACATCAGGAATAATTTTGTATCATCTCTTTCTTTGCTTAGCATGGCGCACATATTGAAGACACTCAACAGCTGGTTCTGGTGGGAAAATATCTGGATGCCCATCAACGTCACGTGGGCACATTTTGTAGACCGTGATGGACTTGTCTTTCCAAAAGCACATCAGTTATATGCCACAATTCCATATGCTTTTGTATTGCTGATTATCCGGTTCTTCAGTGAAAGGTAAGAAACATGAACACAATTGTATGCTGATGTTAATCCTTATTATGCTAAAAATATGTAAAAAATAACATAACTTTAGATCAAGGTTCTCACGTTGTAAAGGAGCATTAGTTGGTGGTTTGCTGGAAAAATCTAGTACAGCTAACAGGGCAGGTGAAAAATTGGGAAATATTTTCACTAAGAACGTGGCTGTGGTCCAATTAGAAGGAAAATGTTTCTATCTAGCTTTTGTAAAACATCTGGATAATTCAATTACCAATTTGCTAGAGATACAATTAATACAAAACCATTTGGGCTTCCTTTTGCTTTTCTCCTCTGGTGGAAAGGTAAAGGTATTTGTCCTCCTTGCCAAACCTCTCCTTTCCTTTAGTCCTCCATCAGAACATTTGTGTGAGGCTGATAGATCCCAGGTGTCTAGCTGTAGCAGAACTAGGCAGACTGGAGGGATCTCAAAGTTCCATGTGAACATTTTATGCACATCTAGTAATACTGATTCCTTTTTTCCCTCGCTTCGACACTGAAAGATGGATTGCTTCTGCAGCTGGAATCTTATGGGACAGGCAGAGATGTGCTCCACAGAAGAAAGCTATGAATATGTTAAGATTTGTGGTGTTTTGACTTATTTATTTGTGCCTTTTTTTCTCTAAAGAATGTGATTAGTAGGTTTCTATAATTATTTCAGGATAGAATGAGGAAATTTGGAATGTCGTAAGTTGGACATACTTAAAACAGAAGCAGATAAGATCATTCGTGTTAAAGATCAAAAGTAATTTGGATCATATGTTTAGAACCACTCTCAGTGTCTCCTGAGTAAAGGCTTGCCCAAGTGTGTCTCCCTGTGCTGCTGTTGGAAATGGCTCGTGTGAATAATTAGTCCACACATCTGGCCTGCAGTGAATCTGCCCATGAATGAGGAAAACTGACCACTGCTGTGAGTAATAAGGAATCAATTGCTGATATCAGCAGGAGTGAGGGGGGCTATTTTAGAGAAGCCTGCCCAAGTAGAAGAGCAAAGCTTTTGGTGTGCTCTGCAACAATTTGTGTTGGAAAATGAAAGGGGAGGAAAAGCCGTCAGTGTCTGGGGAATTTGCTGCTTGATACAAGTTAGAGGCCACGAGCCAAATCTGGCACCTTGGGCAGTGGTAGCCTCATGAAGCAATGTGCTGAGTGACTATCTGCCTCTAGGAGAAAGTATCCCAGTAGCAATCTTTCAGCTCACACACAGAGAGCATCTGTTCTTGGTTCACTCTCCTGTAACTGTTGCTTAACTCCGATATGCCTCTGGAAACACAAGGACACAAAAATCAGGATCTTCACTTGAGTACAGCATTTCGTGATGACAAGTTTGAGTCCCTGGGTCTGCTTTTTTTTTTAAATAACTGCTAATATGCTGTGGTTCCCTCTTGGGTTTAGCTGGAGGGAGATTCCTTTCTCTCACAGCGCAGTGAGAGAGGGCAGATTAATTTGCTTCAGATTTATTTTCTTCATATCCTGGCTTGAGAATAGCTAAGGTCTATGTAACTGTGTTGTATTCTAAAAGATTTTCATGGTATGTCTTTTCAGATACATTGCTATACCTCTAGCAAAAGCCTTAGGTATAAAGAATGTAAGACGTGTGAAGCCACAGCCTAATCCTGTTTTAGAGAGTTATTTCCGGGAGTGCTCAAAACATCCATCCCAAGTAAGGATTCTCATTCTTTTAATCTAGTTTTGGTTTTGGAAAATCCCAAGTCTTACTGTTTCAATCAGCTATCAGCAGTGACATCATGGGATGAGTTCCAGCTGATTGACAGATGACTTAATTTATTTGGGTTTGTGTTGCTGTTCTGCTGACAAGGTTATATGGCATCCAACCAGAAAATATGTTGAAGATGTTTAATTTTCTGGTGTGCTATTCTAGGTTTGACTGTTAATAATATTTCCAGTGAAGATCAGTGTCCCGTCTTTAATTCATTCTGCCTGGAGAAAACATCAGCTGACATCTGTTGTTGGAAAGTGGTATCATATTTATCGCAAGCAATAATACTGGATCACTGGCATGGAAGCCTTTTGATCCATTATGTTGCTGCATACTTAATCCTGGCTTATGTGAGAAAGAGAAACAATCTTTCTGTTACCTTGCTGTTTGTTTTTAAACTGGAGCAACTAAAATGTAATAGCCAATGTTTACCATCCACAAAAATGAGGCAGCATGATTGTTGATGGGAAACAGGTACTTCACTGGGAATGCAGCCTCAAAATTCACTTACCTACCTACAGTTACCAAACAATTGCACACTGGTTTTGAAAATATGTATGTGCTTTCTAGTAATGAGGGATATTGAGAATTATTGATATGTGGAAGCTTGCTTTCTATCCCTAACTCTACTATTCTCTTACTGTGACTTTTGCCTGATATCATCACTTATAGATATATTCATCTATTCATCACATATGAGCTCTTCTCTATCTGGGCAAGTATCCCAATCTCTTGTTTCATACCTTCCTCCTGCATGAGTACAGTTTGACAATCTCTGAAGGGAAGCACAGCATTTTTATGTTCCTCAGTACATGGGAAAGATTCAGGCTGCCTCCTTTAGGTGTCCAGCCTGGGGAGCAGCATGCCTGGGAAAGCATGCAGAGGCCTGGCTGGTGACTGTCTCCACTGTCTGTCAAAATGCAGTTGGTATTCCTGCACGGCAAGTAGAGAGCTCCCCAGCCAGCAGGATGGGCTGAACACCCAGCTTGTTTGCACTCCTGCTTTTCCCAATAGCTGAGTTGCCTTTGCTTACATTCCAGAGCTTCCTTTGAGGGTAGGAGACCAACTGAACTGGACTTACCTTGGTGGAGGTGGTGCTGCCACCTGCTATTTGCATACCTGTATACTTGCCAGGAAAGAACTTCCCCAGGGATGAGTTGAACACTACCTGTACTCCTACAGCAGCCCCAGGGCAGGTCAGCCCACACTTTTCACACTTGGGGATGGAGGAGAAAGAGGAAGCCCACAGGCTGCTGCACACTGAGCACCGAGATATGCAAGAGCCATACTGCCTTGTGCTTAGCACGTGCTGGCATGGCTGCATGGAACAGAGCTGCTTCAGCTTCAAGAGCACACGTAAAACAGGAGCACCAGACTGTTGGACTTAGATGGCTTAGATGCATTTCCAGGCAATGCTGTAGCCCATGTTTATTTTTAGGTGTCCAAAGAAGGCAGTCTGGATTTTGCTCAGCAAGACTAACTGACTTGCCTGTACCAGAGGAAGATGTTGGATTTGAGAACAGAGCTCAGGTCACCTTAATTTCAGGCCCACGTCTCGCCTGAGGAAATAATTTAAACATAAAGTAATAATTATAAATAGGTACAATTAGGTACGATGTCCACAGGGGTTAATACATGGCACTTCCCTCTCCAGACCAACCCCTTGCTCAGCTATAGAAGTTGAGTGTTTGAAATGATCAGAAGCCACCAGAAAGATAATAGCAGGGTCTGTGGATCTGAATGTTTCATGCCTGCTTTATTTATGAAAATTATGTCTTGAAAATTTGGTTTTCTGTGAGTATCACTCAAAAATTAAAGCAGGAAGCCTGCAAGTAAACCCTCATAAAGAGTTAATATTAGTCACAGTTTTAAATTAAGACCTTACAACAGTGGGAAGCTGATTTGTGAACTACGAAATAAATGAAAATGACATCGGAATGCATCTCATTGCTAACACTGTTCCATTTTTTGCAGTCAGATATTCAAGGCCTTGCCAAGAAGTGCAACTGTACTGTCCGCTTGGTGGAAAAGTGGTTCAGGAGACGGCGAAACCTGGAGATCCCAACAGTGCTTCGGAAATTCCAGGAAGCTTTGTAAGAAAAAACAATGCTCTTGATGATTATGGGGTTTGCTTTAAGGGGGATTCATTTCCAGGAAGCTGGGGCTGTCTGACAAGGGTTTTGATTTGTGCATACGCAAACAAATTGAAAGGATCTAGTAGTGTTTCTCCAAATGGTGTGACTTTAAAGGATCAGGTTAATGGTTTCTCCTGAAAAAAACCTTAAAAATGCTTTACAGTTTTCTTCCTTGTGTAATAATGGACTTATTCGTAGGCTCCTGCTGCATGGTGCTTAATGAAAACATGCAGAGAATAGGGAAATATGTTCGTGTCTGGCAGTAATCATATGGGAACAAAAATGCTTACTCCCTCTTGTTTATGTATGTACCCATGGTGTCCTCTTGGGATGCTATTATGTGTATGTCAGTTCAAGAGCAGGAATTGTGGCATCTGAACTAAATGATAGGTGTGACAGCTTGAACATGGGGTGCTGTGCAAAACATGAGCTCAAATACACTGCCAAGAGTGGGCCACTGAGCAATTTTGAGTGATAATCATGAATATGTACAAAGTTTCAAACCCTCCTGCATATGATTGAAAACTGGAGAAGCATCCAAGAGTCTGATTCTTCACAAATGTGTGAGAACTCCCTCGTACCTAAACATTTTACTATTTAACTATTCCAGTGTTAGCCAAAATCTCATGCAAATTGCAAATCCCCCAGTGGGCATGGCTGGACTTACATAGCTCATCCCTTTTGGATACTGAAATGATGTAAAACACTGGTGTAAAACACTTTCCTGATGTCCTGTGGGTTTGCATTTTGACTAGTGTAATCCTATTGGCAAAAATTCACATCATCATCATATTTAACCTTTTAGTGTGATGAGCTTAAGGCACAAGGGTTAAAAGTACAGCTCCAAAGCTCAAAGTTGAGTGCTTTATCAGTGTGAAACAATATGATAATGATTTGATGCTGTCCTTTGGTGGGCATAAATCCAGTTGATACACATAGGTGTGTCTTTCTGAAGCCTGAGTAAACTCTCCTGGTTAACTGACATCCATGGCTTATTTCTGCTGTTGTTCTGTGAATCAGTTAACTTTGTGTTGTGAGTGACAATAACATTTCCTGTTCTTGCTAAAAGCCCTGACATGCCACTGATGCATGGCTGTAGTAATACACGCTAAAGAGTGAAATTCAAACTCGCTTGGCAGCTTGAGTGAGGATGAAGCAAACAGGTTTCTCTTGCGCAATTTCGTGAACCTTCCTCTACTCTCTGTCAGTGAATTTAAATGGATATAATTCTCAAGGCAACAAATGAGGAACAGAGTTATTCCACGCTAGTAGTCAGTGTTCTGGGCATTATGAAATTCATGAAAGCCTGCAATCTCCAGGATCATTTTTCTGAATCACAAGGAAAATCTGATGAGCCACATCTAAACCATCCTTAAGCTATTAGTGCTTCCAGTTAAGCAACACTGGGCTTGGAACGCCCTTTGCATGAAACCTTCCCTGCCTTAAAAGACTTACCAGCCTTTAACTTCACCTACTAAATCCTTCTTTTGCTAGGCTCTGTTCAAGAAAAAAGATTCTTGAAGTTAAATCAGAAAATCCTTTTGCATAGCTGTTGTTCAGTGCTCTCCCTGGTGACCAGGCTTGGAGCTTAAGAGACACTTGGGTAAAATTTGGTGAATTTGGATGAGTTCTACTTCAGGTTTTGTTCACCAAATTCATAAAGAAGCTTGGCTACATGCAAAATGAGGTAGTGCTCTGGCAGTCTTGCACATTGAGTTCATCTGAAGCACTGGGTGTTTATTACCAAGTGTGGTCAATATATATTTGTAAGGCTGGGGACTAATGGCACAGTCTCGTTAGGTGCTCTGTGCTTTGGATCTGGTTCAGAAAACCACTTTACAGTCAACACAGAATCAGTCCCGCTATATCCACTGGACTACTCACACCTCCCTTGCTTGAAACAGGAGGCATGAGGGCAGAATCAACCCCTGCGTAAAGTCTGTCCCGTGCCACGGTGTTGCTTTTCCTGGCATCTCTTGGTTAACTCTGAGCCAGGTATTACTTGTGGGTTCCACTCTCCCCTTCCATTTGCTCTCCTAATTGCCACCATGTACCTTTGAGTTTTTCTGTCTGTTCAGTAGGTGTTCTGAAGGGTTATTTTCAAATCACCTGAGGAAAGATGCTTTAAAGTTGGAAAGGAAACCAGTTATTTATTACCAGTGTATCAAGTGGCAATTTTAGAGTTGTTTTCTTGACTTCTTCCATGGGTGTGAGACACATGATCATGCCTGGCCTCCTCCATTCCATGGTCTCACCTTTTGTTTGTTTGTTTTTCTTGTAAAATGCTGGCTCAGTCTTTAAGCATCTCATTCTTCCACCTGGGATATCAGCCTCCAGGTAATGTAGGGCTCAGAGAGGAGGGACTGCTTTTACCAGGCAGGCTCTTGTTGTCAATCTCTCATATGGCGCTTCATTAATGTTTGCCAAAGGCCACAATTTCTGTACATCTCAATCCATTTCTACAGTGTTCTTGTGGCATTCTCTCCTCCTTTTTAGGCAGTTTAGGTTTCCTGGGAAGCTGGCTGCTGCTCTTCTCCAGGATATCTTTTGTTCTGTAAAACGTTCTCACTGTGTTTGCGGTCTTTGACCACGGCCTTTCTTAGCATGGGAAGTCCCACAGTGATGTCTTACTGGTTTTGAAGAGCGGCTCTGGGAAAGTTCAGGCTTATTCCTGACAAGGGGAAGAGTGAAAAGGAAGAAGTTTTCCATCACCTGTAGAGGTGGGATTGGGAATGCTCCAGCTGAGTCTCTGGCCGCACCCAGTCCTGGGGACAACACCTCCCACACAGGCTCCAGGGTCATTACAACACTGATTGTGGCTCCACATCGCAGCATCCTGCTCTGACATATATAAGCAACAACATTGCTCACTAAGATACACAAGAACTTTTTTCCCTTTGACTTATCAGATCAGTGGTGAAAACCTGAAGGTTTTCTCTGACTTTCTGCATATTGATTTAAGCCACAAAGAGCTTAAATCGGGCTAAATGTTGGCAAACCTACTCAAAGATTGAGGTTTATAGTTTATTCAGACCTCTGTAGTAAGACATAAACTAATCCAGTAGCTTTATCATAGGGCTCCCCTGTTTTCAGCAATTTGTGTTAAGAGAGATCAAAAGAAATTAACCCAGCAACTGAAACAAGTCACTGTTGGGGTGTTCACAGTGCTGGATCAGATTGGAAAGTATGTGCCACATGGCTGAAAGCCCTTCTAGAGTCAGGGAACTGTGAGATGTTGTTCTTGGTGTGCATATTGTGGAGGGATTGATGGAGCAGGGAAGTTGGTGTTATCAAACATTGATGTTTAGGGAATTCATTACATTTGCTGTGGCTGTTCTCTTGATCAGCTTGTGCCCGGCTGGAAAACTAATGCTGTGATCACAGTCGAGAGATCTGTGTCGTGATAGTGTAAAATGATTTACTACCTTAGCAATTAGTCAAAGCTTAATAGTTAAATATTAATATTAAATAGTTAAATATTAATAATTCAGATACATTTAATACATATATTAAATGTAATGTAATAGTGTGAGGGCGCATTTATGTGAAGATTGTCTGTGATAGACAATGATTTGCAGTAATTCTGGATCAGGACCTCTATACAAAATATGATCATTCTTCATTCTTTTTCATTTTGATTTTGCAGCTGGCGATTTTCATTCTATCTCACATCCTCCATTGCTGGATTTATATTTCTGTATGATGTAAGTTAATTGCTTTAAGGACTGGTATTCTTATACTTTCAACAAAACAAGAGCTGGTTTCTAGACCTTCTGGAAGGCCATTGAATGACTCACTTGTTTCAGTGGCTCTTTGGGTTCAGCTCTTTGCTGTATGTAATCTAGATGCAATATGCACTGAGGTTTTACTGAATTCTTCAATTATCTTTTGAACTGGTATGATAAAATACTTTATGAGTAATCAGTGTTTTTAAGGCAAGTTTTAAGAAGTCCCACAGATGGTTTTACAACATGCCTTGTTAACACCTACAAATGCATCACATGGCCATGTTTTTCTCAAAGGAGGCCATAAACCTTTCTTGGCAGCACTATTGGGGGTCACAACAATGGTGTATTTCATGGCTATTTATTGAGGTGTTGCTGCTGAGTCAGAAGTTGGGAATAAGAGAGAGAGTGCTGCTTGTAACTACGTTAGCACTGCCTGGGGTGTCATTAATGCTTCTCCCAAGCAGCGGAACGGTTCTCAGTGTGTCTGCATTCATCTAGCTCTTCTCCCTAAACACTATTTATCATCATGGTGTGTGTGGCTGGTAAACACAGCAAAATCTAATCACTGTGGCAACATATCTTGAGTAATTGCAGTAATAAAACACACACCCACTGCTTTGGATGATGAAATGATGAACTGGAATGTTTCAGGTGTCCTGAAAAGAAGCCAAAAGCTGGGACCAATAGAATAAATCTGAGATGCAAGATCTCTTTAGAAATTGATGGGGAACAGTTATCAAGACTAGAGTTTCTTAGCCTGCTTCACTTAGAGAAATACTAAGTATTGAATATTTTGAGTTAAGACAAGTTATTGTGAGTCAGCCGATCAGTCTCTGTCTCATCTGTCTTCCCAGAAACCGTGGTTTTACGACATCTGGCAGACGTGGGTTGGCTACCCATTTCAGGTGAGGTTTTTGGCATGGGGCCATTGGCCTTAAGGCATTCCAGGTTATTTTCCCATTGGAAGGGGTAATCTGCAGAAGTGCTTTTCCCTCCCAACAGGCAGCACCTCAAGAGGTGCAGCACCAAAACCTTTTGCCCTCCTTTGGTACCTCCTGCTGACTGCTGCAGGACTTGTGTGATCTGCCTGTGCTGCAGCACAGCCCTCAAGCCAGATCACTGTTGTTTCCTCCCACCCCAGGTTATCTGTTGTGTGCAGTAGATGCTTTCTCTGTTACTTGTTTTGGTGCAGAAACCCCAAAGCTTCCACCAGGCCTGACGATGCTTTGAGGCGTTGCAGAACAGCATCATGCAGAGGGTTATGCCAAGCAGCCTAAGTGCTGTGTGCCTGCTGGGCCCTCTTGCTCAGTGATGCTGGGAAGGAGTGCTGCAGTGATTTGGTTTGGCCTAACTTGAATCCCTTCTCTGGGGATCTCTGCTCAATGCTCTGGTCGTTCAAAAGGGTCACGAGGCTTTTGTTTCTTCCTAAAAGATTTTGCTAACAGTCCCATTAATAGATGATTCCAAACAAACTGCTTTCTTGCCCATCTGCCAAGGGTCCTTATGTGCCCCCCACTCTTATTTTTATGAATCTGTGATCCATCACACACTGCCTCCTTATTCCTGTCCTAGGCAGGGGCCAAGAATAAAAAGAATCCTGACCCCCAGTTTTCCAGCTTCTCCTACTCATGGGACCTGATAACCAAGCCTACTTCCTGCCACCTGGGAAATGTATTGAACAAGGGAACTGCCAAGCTCAGCATCTAGGCCTAAGCAGATGCCTGGGATTTTAGCATAAATAGCTGACACTTTAGTCATGGGCTGTGTGAATGTTTAATATGTTAATTGTTCAGCAAAATGCAGGGCTTGGTTTACTTGCAGTTGTTTGTAATTAAATGCAGAAGCACTCTGCATGTAGTTCTCTGACAAACGCACACAAAAAAGCATGCTGAAATTCAGAGAGGGGAAGGAGGAGCTGCAGAAATTGAGAGTTTGGTCTGAGTAAAGGTTAAAATATTTGGCTCCCAGAACATCCTTCTTAATGAAGCCCAGAACAGGGATTTAGTTTAGTTTAATTTTTTAAGCAAGACTCAGCAGTGGAGCAAAAGAAGTGAGGAAAGGAAAAACAAAATGATTTCACTTGGCATTTGCTTTCTGCTATTCTCAGTTAACTGTGCTTTTCTTCCTTACAGACCCTGCTGCCATCCCAGTATTGGTACTACATGGCTGAGATTAGTTTTTACTGGTCTCTCTTATTTACACTGGGGATTGACAACAGAAGGAAGGCAAGTGGGCATGCTTGTTTGTAGCTAGAGCCTCTGTTTCTGTGAAGGGGGGAAAACTGTGTGTAAGGAAAAGCACTGTCCTGACACTGGATTTGGTGCAGCCACATGAGGGCAGCATCAGTCTGTCCCTGGCACACCTGCACACATCCCAGCTCTCCTACCAGGGCATCTCTGCGTGTGACACGTCCTGCTTGTCACTTCATCCACATGCAGACCTTCGGAGGCTGGATTTGCTTGGCTTTACCTTTGTGTTTTTCTCTCCTTCCCAGGATTTTCTGGCTCATGTCGTTCATCACTTGGCAGCCATTGGGTTGATGAGTGGCTCTTGGTGCGCTAATTACGTGCGTCTGGGGACGCTGGTGATGTTTGTGCACGATACTGCAGATTTCTGGCTTGAGGTGACCCTGCTCTCCATCTCTATTTTTTTTTTGTCTTGGGTGTTTTGACTGGGGGGTTTCTGGTTGTTGCCCAGGCTACATTTGGTGACATTTTAATCTTTCTCCCACAAGTTTCATATGATCCCTTTCTATGCCCACAAAGACACAGCTTCACAGATTCATGAATTGTGAGGTAAAAAAGAGCTTCTGGATAATTTAAACTGATACTCTGTTCAAGAATCCCTTGTGAGAAAAGAGCACAAGAGAAGTTCTGCAGTACAGAATGGGGACTGGAAATGCAGCTGCCTCCCTGGATTATTCTTGCTTCACTGTTAAAATTAGTCTAAGTTGGCTAGCCTGTGAACAGCTTGTCATGGTACCAATTCTCAAGCAAATTTAGCAGCCAAAATTTTGGCTACTTCTCCAAATTGGTTTAAGTTTGTCAACATTCACACCCTTCTTCTGACCCAAGAGGTACATCTACATTAGACTTCTGGCTGGAGACACTTAAGCTGTCCCTGAACAAGGTATTGCAGAAGAAACATTTCTTCCCTTGGACTGAAGGGGAAACTAAATATCAATGGTTAGAAATGTTTAAGACTCAGAAGTCTCCTATTCTGCACACAGCACTGTGGTCATAGAGACTTGCTGCTGGCTTTCTTAAAAGACAAATGCTCACTCTTTACTTTAAGTTATCATGACTTCATAACACCAAGGCTGAGAGCATAGCTTCATCACTTCTTCTGGTGGCAATGCCGGTGTAAGCAGCCCTTGTAGGCTGTTTTCCATCCCTGTGCAGTTCTGCTGCTGATAGTCTGTCCATTTTTTTGGAACAACTAATTGTGGGGTCACGCAGTTGGGATTGGTCCTGATCAGATGTGTGCATACAGGGTTTTTTGCCTGGTTACTTTTACTCCTGGACTGCTTTGTGGTGCAGTTAACGGTGTGACCTTACAAACAGTTGAGCTGACAACTGGTAAGACAGCACTCAGATGAAAGCTGAAGTTGGGTACCAGAATAACTTAATTCAGCCCTGCCACTCAAAAAAGTCCATCAAACTGCTGTTTGAAACCTTAGCTTGGCACCTGGAGCTGTGTTCACACTTGAGAGCATCTGTTTTGTTCAGCAGTGCCCAGGATGATTCCTAAATGAAGCATGAAGAGCTGTACAGTTCAGATGGGGCATAAGCAGCAATTATAATCCTTGTTAGTGGGATAGGGACCAACAGGAGGATCTGCATTCACAGTAAGGAGAAAACAGAAGCTGAATTAGGCATAGAGAAGGGTCAGTAACATGCATGCACCAGAATGCATGCCTGTGTGTAAGGGGTCACTGCCGCTCCTGAGCATGCAGATGTGGCCAGCAGCTTCTCTTTGATTCAGCCCATTTTGAATCTGGTACAAGAATGAGAGATCACCTCTGTTTTCATGACACTTCTATATTCTGATCCAAGAGTGATTATTTAGGCCTTTGATACAAAGTCCTCTCCTTTAAGATGAAAGGAGAAATATAAACAAAGAATCTGTTTTGATACTGCTTTATTAGGTATCAGTAAAGTGATTGCTTTACATGTCAAACAGGGAGGACATCTTCCTCCTGCTTAGGTGGAAGATGAGTGTTTATTTATGAAAATGCAGAAAGGAACTTATTTCAGAGAATATTTGTAACACATTTGATGTTTTTTATTCAATGCAGGCAGCCAAAATGTTTAATTACGCTCACTGGGAGAAAACCTGCAATATGCTCTTTATCATCTTTTCTATTGCATTCTTCATCACAAGAATCATCCTGTTTCCCTTCTGGTAAGCAGTATTTGATGTAATCACAGGGTTTTATTTCATTCCCATTCCCATTGAGAGGTTAGTATTGGTTGTGATGGGAAAAGGAAAGGAATGGATTGTACTTTAGAGAGCAGGAGCAGAACTTCTATTATTGTTGGCTACTAATGGCCAGCCAGAAGAACTGACAAAACTGATTTTAAAAATTTAAGCTCAGTAAAAGTAGTTTCTTAAAAGAGCTTCTTGAAAACAGCTAACCTGAATAGAGGCTCTTATGTATTATTCAAGTTATTTTTGTGAGTTGTAGTTAAATGCTCTGAGCTCCTGCATTTTCAAGAGGGTTGAGCTACTTAACTAGGAGAATTAACTTTCCCCTTTCATTCTATCCCTGCTGCTGTAACTGCAGAGGCAGAGCCCAGTGTAATTCCTATATAAATGTAGTTAATTTTTGTAGAGCCTTCCTTTTGCTACCTAGTTTTGGGTAGAGCCACTTTCTCAAGCAAGGAGCATTCAGAAAAGTTAAGGTGAACCAATTAATTTATGAAGTCAACACAAGTAAATCATAGCTTGCTAAACACTTGCATGACTTTGGAGTACTGTGATTTAATCTGCTTTGGAGTATCCACATGGGTGCTTAGAGTGCTTAATGCTTAACATGTTTAGCTTTTAAAAGCTATTTAATGTGTTTCACATTCATGGTTTCGTTGACTTGCTCTAGTTTGCATTCATGCCTCTCCCCCAATGTGGACAAACCCTTAGAGACTCAAGCTGGTTAAATTAATAGTTCTGAACACTGATCAACAGAAGGTTTTAATTTCCTGTAGTATTTTCTTTCAGAAATGCTGATGCCTTTCACTTTATTGTTATTTTTTTATTAACTATACAAGTGATCTCCAATCATTTTGCTTCACTGAGTTTCTTGTTCTTGAGTTCTTAAGCTTGGAAGCAAAACATTATGAGATTAAAGGTACCCAAAAAGCCCCAAATAATATAGAAGTAGTGAAGTCTGAAGATGGACAAAACATATGTTAATTAACAAAAAGCCCTGTTGTAAAGCCTGTAGGATTTTCTCTGGAGTGTGGATTTCAGATTAGAGAGACTTTGTATTAAAAATAAGGCATAGGAAGGCTCTCAGTTGCATAGTATCTAGACCACACAGAGATCAAGAGCTGGAAAAATAGGATTGTTTTCTAACCTTGTTTAGAAAACTTTTGTGCAAGACTCCAATTTCTCATCTTCTGAAGTCTGTAGTTCAATAGAGATGCATAATCTAGTTCAATAGAGATGCATAATCTAGTTAAGACAGAGCTTGTTAATGAATGTCATCTCTGCAGAGCTTTTTAATATTTGTGGAAATAATTAATCAGTTTGGAATGTGAAATTATAAATAGCTGTAAATAGCAGAGAGATGAAATCTTGCACCGTAACGCTGACCTTTATTTCTCAGGATTCTTCGTGCCACGTTGTATCAGCCTACGTTCTACTCCACGACTCCTGTCATAGCATATTTTCTGTTCAATGGGCAGCTGTTGATCCTCCAAGGCTTGCATTTATACTGGGGTTACTTAATTCTCAAGATTTTGAAAAGGTTCATTTTCTTAAAGGTAAGAAGTTTATTCCTGCAGAAAAACATGGGAAGTATCAAAGGTGCCAGTACCTCCAAGACATTTACTTGGATTTTCTTATTGTGTTACTGAGCTTTCATGCCATCATTTTTAACAGGGATCTTCAGGGTATAGAGCTGTTCAGATGTGCTTTCTACCTACACCTAAAGTCATAGATCAGAATATTAAAGCTTCCGCTAAAAGTGCGTTTTGCCTATATCTGATGTTTTGCTCTGATTGTAAATGAGAAATGATCGCTCCCAAAAACTGAAGCCCTGAGATGGCGCAGAACTCTTTAGAAGTTCTTGTGTTCTGAGTGAAAGCAATCTTTTGTCACTGGACTTTGTAGGAACATACTAAAAGAGGAGAGGCTTAAGCATTGACAGGTATATTTTGCTAGTAAAAGGGAAACCTAAGTTGTGCTATTGAAAAGTGGCATTTCTTTTGAGGATCAAGATGCAAAACCTTAATTGAGCCAACTCTGTCCTATTGTCTGAGGCAGTTAATGCTGTGAAGCATCTTAAGGAAATAGAAATGTTCCTTCTGACACACATTTAATTGTTGTTTGACTGATAACAGAAACCATCCTGTAATTACTGGGTTTCTTCAAATCTGATGGAAACAGACAGCTGGATATCATAGGGAGCCCCAATGTCTTGCCTAGAAGAAAACTGCAGTTACAAACTCAACCCTTGTTAGACAGCAAACAGCTGTACATAAGGGACAAATCTGTAGAAGAAATGGATTGTGTTATTCTGTTCCTATAACATGCTTCTGTGTTCCCTTAGCTACTGGGAAGCTTGTATTTCTTGTGTATTACTTACCTCTGTTAGATTAATTACAAAGTTATTTCTGGTCTGCTTTATTAAGTGTTAAAATGTTTTACTTCTCATTTTCTTGTTTCTGGCCTTGTCTCTGTGCTGTTCTCACACAAGTCTCCTGGTGAAATCAAGAGGGACATCCCTCTGCCTTGAAGCAGAGGAAGAGAAAGGCTTTCCCATAACTCTCCATTCACTTGGTTGAGGTTATGAGAGTACAATGCAAGAAGGTCTTCAGATGCAGTGGGGAAGAGGATGTTAGTTGACCAACTATATAAGGCCATTCTGCCCTGCCTGCTTAGATGCCTTTGTAAGGGGCAGAAATATTTTATTTTGAGATAACAACTTTTATGTGTTAGTCATTGCTAAAAAATGGGCAAGCACCGAGCCTGCATCCCTACCATGGATTTTTGATTCCTTATAGAGCTCTGGGAGAAGACTGTTTCCAAATAACATTTTACAGTGGTAGCAGCAGCAGCCCTAGCCCTTTTCAGTCCCTATGACTTCAGCTGGCTTGCATGTGCAGCCTGTTTTCCATAGCAGTGGCAAACTTGGCTGTGAAAGCAGCCAGTGCCTCCAAAGCTGTAAAGGCAACATTGCAAAGAATGGTGTTTGCAAGGCGGCTTTTTTATACCAACATATTTGTTATAGACATACTCCACACAAAGAGCTGTTGCTATTTCAGTGAAATACCAGTAAACCATCATCCTTGTACTAGAAGGGTTTTGTTCCTCTGCCCAAGACTTTTAAAGTTTTCCTTCAGAAAACAGGCAATTTTGGGCATTTTTCTTGAAGCAACAGTTAGCTACTTCAGCTGGAAAAATGAAGTCATGATGTAACTGGGAATAGGGATGGATGTTGTTGTTGAGCAGAAGGAAGCTCTGAGCATAACAAGGGTGTAAGGAATGTTTTTAGTGCCCTCTGTGCCTTGAGCCACTCTGGGTTGATGGGGTCACCGCTGAAAACTGCTGTAGTGCAGTAGTAAACAGTTCCTAATATCCATCCAGCAGCAGGTGTCTCCCCTGATTGTATCCTCCTGGACCATTTCATTGCACTGTCTGAAAGTCAGTGGCCTCAAATGTATTTATTCTCAGTAGGAAATGCTGTTGTCCCCTCTCGAAAGATAGGTTAAAGGGCTTGTCTGGGTCAGAAATGAAAGGTGGGAGTCTGTAGGGAATATAAACAGGAGGGCCCAAGTCTTCAGGGTGTCATGTATCCCCTAGGTCCTCTTTGGTGTTATTCGAAGGGTCACGCAGAGCTGTGTCACCTCTTGCTTAGAGCTGTGGGTCTAGATTCAATACTCTGATCTCTAGGCTGTGGCAGAGGCTTTATTAAAGGCAGGAATTAATACAGAAATGCCATCAAGTACTGCAGCTTCCTGAGTTAGTAGCTTCTTCCTGCTTTATTCTTCCTTCTTGGGAATAGATGGCTTTTGCCTGAGATTGGCTTTATCTCAGATGTCACCTCTCCTCTGCACTAATAAAGGGGACAGTTATCCTCAGTCCTCAGGGGTCACTGCTTGGCTGGCTGACTTGCTTCAGCAAAAAAGAACTTGGACTAAAACTCTTGCTATTTTCCCTCCTCTCAAATGCTGCAGCCAGAGATGAATAAAACTGAGGAAGAAGGAAAGGAGGGAGGAGGGATGATCTTGTTCTGTTCCTCTATGCCCTGTTTTCTCAGGCATGGGAGTCTGACACCAGAGCTGATAGCAAAGAGCATCACTGGTCTCCAGGCTCATGGGATCTGTGCCACCTTTCCCTGGGCCCAATCCTCCAGAAATATCCCAGTGAGGGGGCATTCTGCATGGACAAGCTAAGCTGTACTCAGCTACTTTGCATTAAGAAGCTTTTTATTTTGTCCGGGGATAGGAGAGGACAGGAGTATTGGACTACAAGGGTGCTGGAGGGGGACTCTTCATCAGGTACTGTAGTGGTAGGACAAGGGGTAATGGGTTCAAACTGAAAGAGGGGGAGTTCAAGTTAGATATAAGGCAGAAGTTCTTTACTGTGAGGGTGGTGAGGCACTGGAATGGGTTGCCCAAAGAAGTGGTAAATGCCCATCCCTGGCATGGTTCAAGGCCAGGTTGGACAGAGCCTTGGGCGACATCTACTGTGAGGGGTTGGAACTGGGTTATCTTAAGGTCCTTTCCAACCCAGACCAGTCTGTGATTTTATGATCCTATTACATTTTTCAAATCAAAGATTTATGCTTACTTGTGCAAAATATAAAAATATCCCAAAAGGAACCCAAATTTCCTTTGCCATATGACGTCTTGTGACCCTGTATATGAGCGAGGCCGTTGCTCACATATATGAACTCTCACGTATATGCGAAAAGGCCTAAAGGTCAGACCTGTAGCCATGTATCTTAGATAAGCTCTGCTGTGAGAGGAAGGACATTCTTCAGTGCAATTTCTATTCAGGTTAGGTCAGGCAATCGCAATGCTCGCTGCTGCTGCCATCTTGATGTCCAAGGCCTTTTGTTGCTAGGAGACTCCATGTGTTTTCTGTAATATTGTTCAATTACATGGTTAAATTACCCACTTGTATCGAGTTTCAAGCACCACTGAAACATGTCTAGTCATCATGTCTGCACATATGAGAATATTTTAGGAAAATTGAAAAAACATACAGAGAAGTATGTACATGTGCACTGATTTAAAATCTCTCGCCAGGAAAATCCCATGGAGATTAAACATTTTATTTCCAAGGTCAGAAAAAGGGAGCGAGTGACAGCAGCTTAGAGCCACATTGTTATGGCAAATTAAGATGTAAAATAGATGTTAAAGCCATTACACACTGAGTTAAAGTTTTGAGACTATGGTTCTTTAAATCTTGAGTAATAAGTGTAAGCTGTAGGAAATGGGCATGATGTCCACATGACTCAGGTACTTCAGGGCTGATGCAAAGTCCAGCAGTGGTAGAAGGTAATGGCAGGTTTTTAATGGACTGTAATGTAACCTGGAATATGTTTTGTTTCTCTTTTAATTGTTTTGTCACCATCAGACTGTCCTCAAGTAAGCTTCTCACTGATGGTCACTATTAGGAGTCACCAGTTGCAGTTTCATTTGATTCACCATGGTTCTTTCCCCTTCCTGAAGCAAAGAAGGCTGAAGTGTTGTAGAGCAGGCTTTTGGACTTGTCACTCTAAAAAAATAAGCTGGTGCCACCTATGTATCTACAATATTCCTTAGGTGGTTTGTGCTCAGTGAGCAAGCTTTTTAAAGAGTTTGGTTGGGCATATCCTTGTCCATAGTTTGTTCGCTCCTTATTTGGTCCAAATTCCCAAGGGAACAGAGACAAAGAATGATGGATGACAGAGTAGGGGTAGCTGAAAATGAAAAGAAAATACTATTTTGGGGTTGAAATGAGAGCTGTGAAATACTTACGGTACTTCTGCTGTTCCCAGCCATCGTTATTCTGCTTCAGCCTGTTGAGGATTGCTCTCAAACTGAGACATCTCTGCCAGTTCCAGTTGACTTTCTTTCCTTCATTCTTTCTTACATACTAATATTGGGATGCCAGTAGAGTCCTTGCCATGGAAAGTGGTTAGTCACATAAAGACTCCTTGAACCAGTTGCTCCCTTTTCTATACTGAAAGATCTACTACTAAAACTCAATCCCTAAATGTGTGCCCATGACTAGAATGCTTGATATGTTTTAATATTAATGTGTAGTCAAGGCCTGAAAGTCCTTTGGAGTACGGACATCGTATGCTCTTATAAAACATGCCCTCACCACTTAAACTGTAGAGTAATGATTCTTTACACCTGCAGAGGTGCTGGCCTATGTTACTGTCTATCTTTCTTGCTGTGAATTTCTCTCTTCACAGATTTGCTATAACCCTTTGTGACAGTTTTGAAGTGAAGTTATACAGTTCCCGAAGGCCAAACTACCTGCTCCTGACAGATGCCTTTGGCTGAGGTTAATCTGAGGCTGTTCAGAATCTCCTCAGCTTCTGCAGAACTTTCCTTGCCTGGGATCCTCCTATTATTTATCGTCTTAAGTTTTGGTGCTTGATCTGTTTGCATCAGGCGGAGCTTTTATTGTTAGTAGTTCATTTGAATCTCTTATTCTCTAAGCGCATGGGTCCTGGGAGTGTGGAATCTCAGTGCTGAACTTGGGTGAGAATTTTCTTGTTCACAAAACACAGACCCACAGCAATGGGGTTTTTTGGTTTACA